ATACAAACGTGTAATCCAAGTCTCTCACCTCTGGTGAAACCTCTAATCAGAAACTAATTATTTGAAAGGCAACCATTATATTTTCTGTTTCAGAGCAAAATAATTGTGGGAAAAATAATCCATGCAAGTACTTACACGCAAGCAGTGAATCACGAGCAGATGGATGTAGCCATCTCAGTCCCAATTCAGACGTGACTGCTGGAAAAGGACAAGACTGCATACAGGTTCTCTTGCTAGCACTGGGCTGCTCTCCTCTCAGAATAACCTGGTTTTCAGGGTATCAGTTTTAAACTGTTCTACTCATCCTACATGCAGCAACATAAAGAATTTGGTTGGTTTAGGTCCTGGAAGAGTTTTCTGAATGCATTTTAAAGGCAAATGACCCAGCTTAATTGAAGTAAATGTGTGCACTTTAATGACCTTTGATATATATGATAAGACTAGAATATCTGATAATTCCTTTACAAGTTCAATCTCCTTGCCTCCCCATAAGAGAAGCCTAACATATCACATTTGTTTTGGACAACTGATACTATATTTTATAACAAAAATTAAAAAAACCTTCAGCCAAAGTGTCTGTCTACAATGGTGTGAGTTGCTACAAATGCAGATTCCCCAAATGCAGCTGTTTGCAGTGAGATCACGTGAATCTCACTCTAAGATGGAGCTTCTGTATCATTAAATTTACCAGGATGCATAACTAATAACTTCCATGATTTCAAAATTCTCCTGTTTCATTCTGGTTTTGAAAAATAATACTTTGAAAAGGTGTACATTTGATGGCATAGTCCCATTAAAATCCCATCTTTATGGATTGTGCAATGTTTGGTGCCTCGATTCCTTAATTCGTAACTATAATTTACTGAAATTCCACATGTTTTTAGACTGAAAACATTGCACTTGCTGCTTCATAAAACATAAGCTTTCTGTTCAGTAACACTTGAAACCAAAGAACAAAATACTGACTATACAGTCAATTCCTTCCCTACTCCCACTCCCTCCCAAAAACAAAACAAAAAGCCAACCAAGAAACCAACCAAAAAGTACCACCCAGGTACTTGCATTCATACCAGCCTCAATAAGTGACAGTTTTACATTTTTCCACTTCAGTATTCCTACCTTGCTGAGCCCTTGCAGCAATGCTGTGGTAGCACATTTGCCCAATGGTGTCAAGTAGAATGGAAGCTAACTATTTACTACAACAAATCTCGTGAACTGTTGCTATCCAGCACTGTATGCATAGAAAAATGACATTTTAACAGTGAGGTCTTTTCTCCAAAATATAAATAAGGATGTATCACCAAGCTAGATTGAAAAAGTTCAGTTTTCTCCCCTTCCAACAGTATGCATTAGCATGAACTTCACTCCTGTAAAAAGGCTGTAAGATACGGATAAAAGCAACTAAGTGTTCTACTACCTTAGGACAAAGGATCATTCTGCCTTTTCCTGGAGTTTTTTTCTGATGGGACATAATCTCATTTGTGCAGACTTAAATGCCGTCTAACTGCAAAATCCTCCTCAGAATATGTTTCTTCTTCACCCTTAGCAGAAAAGAACAACAGCTTGATAAAATCTAAGTGTTGCAGTTTCATAAAGGTGCCAAAGGAACAGTTCCACAGTTCTCTTTTATAATCCATCTTAAAAAGACTGTAGAGCTGGGTAAGGTTATGTTCTGCATCTAGGGCTGTTCTATCAGGGTTCTGACAACGAAAAACCAACAAGTTCTGCATAGCCATAGAGGTGCAATAAAAACATCACTTCCAAAGACTGTGCAGTGTCTAACAGCTGCAGCTTGAAGGTATATCTGAAGTTCTGTTGGTTTTTTGTTTGTTCAACATGCTTAATATCAAGTCTTCCTTCCTATTTGCATGAAACACTACTTGCACATTCAGTTTGAAAAAAAATTAAGAAAAAAAAAAATCACAAAACATCACAAAGCAGCCACCCAGATTTCTCAGCGGTCTTTCTTCCACTTATTGTGAACAACAGCTCCTTCCAACTGAGTTGCTAAACATTCTGTTCTGACATAACTTGAGAATTCCACCAACTTTACAGCACAGCTTCAAGATATTTTGAGTTTCCAGTTTTATCCAATTAAAGAAGCACAGCAAAGGCAACACTGGAAGAAGAGCCTAGTTTTGCTGGTTCTAGTTCAAAATGCTTTCTAACTGTGCCACATTTCAAGTGCTTTTCACACCAGCATTCCCACCACACTATTAGTGTTTACTTTTTTCAAGCTGAGCTTTTGCTTGTCCTTTAGTGACATAAAGCCTGTACGACCCCACCATTTCCGTTTCAGACACATACAGCAAATAAGACTTTGAATTCTTTTAATTTACAAGATCGATCACTTTTAGTTGTGCCTTACTGTTGATACACAGTAAATACATTCATCTGAACAATTTGCTTAGTCTGAAAAAAAGAAAAAGCAATTAAAACACTAACAAACTACTTAACACTGTTGATGACACAGTCAGGCACAGAAGACCATTTCCTAATAGCTTACCAGTGCATTTATTGCTGTGCGTCTCAATCAGCAGTTGTGTGTAACAGTAGATTTTAGGTTAATGCTACTGCTGAAATAAGATTTATCAACTCTCAGCTCAGCCTTTTGTAGTTACCTTTCCAGAAGAAACGTTTCTTCTTTCATTCACTATAATACAAATATTTCTTCTCTGGAGATCTACTCAACACAGAGTTTCAATAACATTCAAAAAGATGTTAAAAATGACACTGGAGAACTCTATTCTACTGGTGCATGCAACTGTGAAAGTCCAGATAAATCAAGTAACATGTTTCTCCTAGACTGAAGGATCTGGGCACAAGTGTAATTTAACAAGTAGCACTTGAGATGCATTCTTACCCCAAGCTTTAGATAGATTAATATGCACCACAACACCTACAACTGATCAGTTCAGAAAAATATTTTTAAGTCTTTGTTTACTTTTAAATCTTTACAGAAGACTTATGGTGGAAGATGCCACGACCCACTCTGCTTTTTTCTCCTTTTTTTTTTTTTTTTTTTTTTTTAAACCTTGAAGAGTTGGGTTATCAAAGCTATTACACTTTTGACAGTTACTTCTTAGATACTTTTTTTTGTTGTTGTTTTAAACAATGAAGAGGCAGGAATTTTTTTTTTTTTTTTAATTTCATGATTAAGGACAACTGAACATTATACTCATTTAAATCAACCCAGTTACATAGCTTCCATAAGTTAACGGCTGCCAAGTGTGTTCATCAGTAACCCACCATGAGTGACATTATGTGATGGGCAAAACTGATTTTAAGGTTAGACATGGTATACATAAAAATAGAAAGTTTAAAAACCAATCTTGTCACAGACATTTCCATTGCCATCTCCTTTGTGAAATAAATAAGGCAGCAGATAACTTTTATTTTGAAGTGGCATCTTTGAGATATGCTATTAAGTCTACTCTCTCAGACTTCTTCTTGATACCCGCGAAAATCATCTTTGTTCCTGGGATGTACTTCTTTGGATTTTCCAAATACTCCATCAGAGTATCCTCACCCCAAGTGATACCTGGCAAAAAAATGAAAAAATAAGAAAAAACAAGTGACTTGAAAGTGAAATGAACACATTTTTTTTTCCTGGTCATTCACTTTATTTTGCTTTCTGCAGGTTTCAGTACTTCTGACTATCATCAAGAACCACCAGTAGCTCAGGGGAGCTGTTTTACATTTACCTTTGTTCTTATTAGCATCTGTGTAAGAGAAGCCCTGAGCTTGTCCTGTTTTTCGTCCAAACAGGCCATGGAGATTGGGTCCAGTCTTGTGCTTGCCTCCTTTTTCAACTGTATGGCACTGGGAACATTTCTGGACAAAAATCTTCTTGCCCTTCTCAATATCTCCCATTGTCAGTACTAGACCAGGAACACATACAGAGGTCAAAATCACAATATCAAGGTCAACTACTCATCAGAAACATTAAAAAGGTTCACATTGGTTTACAAATCTGCAGCTACAGTCCATCAATCTGGTAACACTCCTGAATGCCTTCCAGCCACAAGTTACAGCTCTGAAGATTTGCATAGAACCATTAGACTATGTAAAAGGTACTAGGGTCATAGACTTTATGCCTGAAGAATAGGAAAAAAAAAAACCAACAAAACCATGCCTCAGCTCCAGTATGCCCCAGAGCATTTAAGAAGCACAGCAGTGACTTTTGAAGTGCAAATTGAGCACAAGTTCTAGGTATAGCTTGAGCATCAACAACCGCGGGCATCTCAGTCACCAACAGCCTCGCGTAAAGGACAGAACCGCTCCCGTTCCCACTCCCGCAGGGCAGCACGCCGCCTCGGAAGCGCCGAGAGCGGCACCACCGCACAGCGCCCAACTGCTGGCCCAGCCCGGGATGACCTTGAGGCGAGAGGCGCGCGCGGAGCGGTCACCTCACGATGGGACGCGGGCCGGCCCAGCAGCTTCGCCCACAGCGAGGCCCCGCGCACCTCCCCGGGCCCCCCAGGATGCGGCGCCCCGCAAGGCGCTAGGCCCGGCCGTGACCTTCCGCTGCCAGCTGAGGCCGCGCCTCCGGGATCCTCGCGAGCCGCCGTCCAGGCAGGCGGCAGAACCGCCCGGCCCCGTCCCTCATCACACCTTTCCCGCCTAACGGTCCCGCCAGGCCGCGTAGTGGCACCAGACTCGGACACCGCCACTTGGAGGTCAGAGCCTGATCGCCCGCAGGCCTCGCCTGACGCCGCCCGCACCTGCCTAGCCTGCCGCTCCGCTTACGCTGCGCCCACGGCGGTGACTACGAGTCCAGCCGTCCCACACCGTCCGACTTCTACGCCCAAGGACACGCCGGACTCCGCTCTATGTAAGCCGGTGTCGCTGCAGCCAAACCGCGCCGACACCCCACCCGCCCACTCTGGCTCGGTAGGCAATCAAATGCAGCCAGCTGGACTTCTGATTGGTTACAGCACCTGTCCTTCAGGGATGACGTCACGACGCTTGCGAGTAGCGGGGTAGGTTGCGACCGCGAGCGCCGAGCTCCCTCTCCTACTACTTCCGGCGGAAAACGACTAGCGGAACTCCTCTACGTAAAGCAGACGCGAAGCGCGGGACGCCTGCAACGCATGCGCAAAACGGAAGGTGAGACAAGTGTTGCGCGGTTCTCCGATCACGCTCTGACCTCAGCTGGTGGTGGCGTGGCCGTGGGTGGGGCCCGGGCCGTTACCGTGACCGTGACGTCAGCCCCTCTCGGCTGCTTTCGGGTGGGGGGAGAGAGTGGGAAGCGAGAGTGTGAGGGGAGAGTTGGGCTTCCGTGAGGACGCCGCACTGTTTTGGGCGAGTTCTGTGTGGTTCCCGAAGGGAGTAAAGGGTGGAGGAAGCTTCACAGTTGGTGAAAGTGATGCTAAGGTATTTCCTCACGTGGTGGACGTGCAGTATCTGCCTGCTGTGAAGCGTTAACGATTAACGCCGTCGCCAACTGTAAAGTTACTAAAATAAAGCTATTTTGCTTATGATATGTTGTTAAATGTATGTCAGTGAGGTCCAAGGGAGCTGACTGAAAGGGTCACCTTGACTTCTGCCGTTGCTGAATTCCAATCTCAAATCAAGATTCCCAGAACTATGACTGGAAGATTAAAAACTAAAGACATTGTGTTTAGTTTGGTGTTTGGTTGTTTTTTTAATAAGGCCTGTGTGTCTGCAATGCTTCTTGGCATTGGGTGTATGTAATGGGATCCTGAGGCTCATGGTAAGCCTTCCATCACAGAGCAGGAGGTGCCTTTTAAGCTGCCTTAAGAACTGACAGGAGTGTAAACTCTTAAGCTTCTTTAAGCACTCAATGAGGGCTGATGCAGGCTGTTTGGAAGACTTGGTGAGCACTGGTGCCTGCTGACATCCACTCAAAAGGTCTGTTCTTCGCTGCAGGCAGACTTGAAGGATGTGTGATTCACCATTTTGATTGGGTTTTGGTGTCTAAATGTGTATACTCTGTACTAAGCATTGTGTCTTGAGCCTTCTTGAGCCTCACAGTTACCGCTTCTGATCCAGGTGGAAGGACACTGTAGCAATGTTCATTCCTTTTCTGAGGGAGTCATAGACCCATCTGAGCTGAAAGGGACTCTTAAAGGCCATCCAGACCAGCTCGAGGGCAGTGAACAGGGACATCTGCAGCTAGGTCAGGTGCTCAAAGCCCTGTCCTACCTGACCATGAATGTCTCCAGGGATAGGGCACCCACCACCTCTCTGGGCATAAAAATATAGTAGTTCAGTAGAATCACAGAGTTGCAAGGTTGGGAAGGACCTACAGGATCATCTTAATCCAGCCTCCGTCCTCTCGTCACCATTACTGCCACAAGCTACTAAACCATATCTTGTAGCTCCTCATCCAGATGCCTCTTGAACACTGCCAGGGACAGCAACTCCATCACCTCCCTGGGCAGGCCATTCCAGTGCCTGGCCACTCTCTGAGAGAAGAAGGTTTTCCTTACATCTAATCTAAATCTCCCCTGGCAAACTTGTGGCCATTTCCTCGGGTCTTGGCTAAACCTCTCCTCATCGCAACCTCCCTTCAGGTAGTTGTAGAATGCAATAAGGTCTCCCCTGAGCCTGAGCCTCCTCTTCTCCAGACTAAGCAATCCCAGCTCCGTCAGCCACTCCTCATAAGGCTTGTGCTCCAGACTCCTCACCAATTTCACTGCCCTTCTCTGGACACACTCCAGGGCCTCAATGTCTTGCTTGTAGTGAGGGGCCAAAAACTGAACATAGTACTTGAGGTGTAGCCTCACCAGAGCTGAGTACCGGGGCAAAGTAGATGTATTTTCACTAGTAAGGACTGGCATGTCAGAGGGGGAGAACCTGATTTGTTTAAGCCTACTTTGCTTTAACTGAGTGTGAGCTTGTGTGTGACAGTGGGAAGAACTAGTGTGCTATGCAGCGGAAGGTGCAAGAAGGGGGTGGTGGTTCAAGGTGCCCAGTGTTTTGTTTTTGGAAACATTCTGCAGTAGAACAGATTAGTAATGAAATGTTACCCTTCTGTGCTAGACAGGATTTGTAGTGTATAATTTGCATGGATCCTGCATAAGTCTTATGACTTCCTCAATAGCACAGAATAGGTGGAATTTCTGGAGGCTGTGCAGAAGGCAAAGTCAGGGCTTTTGTGTCTTTATGTGTTTGCATTGCAGAAGTAAACTGAAATTACTCAACACATTTTCACTGCACTGTTATTTTTCTAGATGTAATAAAATTAATTGGGATATTTACTTTCATGGTTTGCCTGGAACAACTGTGTTTTAAGCTTTCAGTTATTCACAGTGGTTGTACATTAAACAACTTCATCTTTTTATTAACTCAGATTATTTCAAACTGGAATTATTATTTTGCAGCTTATTTATGCTTATTGCAATGTAATTTTGTTCTGAAAGAAGAGAAAATAAAACAAATATATACCAAAGCACAGCTTAGAGGAAACATAAAACATCCAACCAGTTCTCTTCAGAGGTACACTGCAGATGAAAGAGGAAAGATCACCTTCTTGGGACTAGGCTGGAATTCAGGAGATCATGATTTATTTCTCAGTTTTGTGATATATATCTTGTGTTGTCTTGAAAAAATATCCTTTTTCAAATAAAAATGTGTTATTAAAACGAATATCTGGATTGCACTCAATGTATATTTTTCCATTATTGAAAAGATAAAAGCTTTTGTCAAGATAAAAAGGATTATAGAATCATCAATCCTTAGGGTTGGAAGGGACCTTTAAAGGCCATTTTGGTCCCTCACAGTGAGCAGGGACACCACAGCTAGATCAGGTTGCTCAGGTCCTGATCCAGCCTTGTCTTGAAACTCTCCAGGGATGGGGCATCCACCACCTCTCTGGGCACCTTGTGCCAGTGCCTCACTACCCTCAGTATAGAAGACTTTTTCCTTATATATTACTCTAATCTCCCGTTTTTAAGCTTGAAACCATTTCCCCTTGTTCTATCACTACAAACGCTGCTGAAGAGTCTGTCCCCTTCTTCCCTGTAGCTCCTCTTCAGATACTGAAAGGCCACTATCATGTCATCTTGGAGCCTTCTCTTCTGAAGGCTGAACAGCCCCAGCTTTTTCAGCCTGTTCTCATAGGGGAGGTGTTCCATCCCTTGGATCAGTTTTGTGGCCCTTGTCTGGACATGCTCCAACAGATCTATGTTTCTCTTGTACTAAGAGCTCCACATCTGAACACAGTACTCCAGGTGAGGTCTCACCAGCACAGAGCAGACAGATATGATCTCCTCTCTCACCCTGCTGGCCATGCCCATTTGATACAGCCCAGTTGGCCATCTGGGCTGCAAAGTCACATTGCTGGCTCATGTCCAGATGCCATCCACCATTACCCTCAGGTCTTTTTTCGGTAGGCTGCACTCAATCCTTTCATCACCCAGCTTGTATTGGTATTGGTAGCGGGAGTTGCTTTGGCCCAGGTACAAGACCTTGCAGTTGGGTTTGTTGAACATCATGAGGTTCACCTGGGCCCACTGCTCGAGCCTGTCTAGGTCTCTCTGGATGGCATCCTGTCCCTCTGGTGTGTCAGCCACGCCTCACAGTTTGGTGTCATCTGCAAACTTGCCGAGGATGCACTGGACCCCACTGTCATTGTCACTGATGAAGATATTAAAGAGTAAAGATATTAAAAAGAATTGTTGCTGTATTATCATATACCTAAGCTATGAAGATAAATTTTGGGTATGTACGTAAAAGTATTTTATGTACCCAAGGGTACAAAGTAGCTATTGAAGGATTTGATCTCAGCAGATAAAGCAGAACTTAAATCTCTTTTTGTATCTACTCTTCTTATTTTGTGAATTTTGTAGAGCTGTTGATACAGCTGTGAGGCACTAAGGGAGAGAGAAAGGCTATCCTGCTATGAGAAGTTTCAGGTGTACAAAGGACTGAAAGTTTAATCTTAGTCTCATGCTGTTGTGGAGTCTGATACAGTTTACTGGAAAGCTACAGTTAAAAGAAGAATAAAATATCCTTGAGCGTTGTCTGATAATCTGATTCCTTCTGGTAAGCAGGCCCTGTGTCCAGCACAGGAGCCTGCCAATTAGCAGATAAATAGCTATAAGAGCTATACATTTAGTCTAGCATACTGCAATCTGTCATTATCTTGAACCCTTTGACCCTTATTCTGGGCACCAAAATGAAGTGTTGTGATTTAACCCTGGTAGACAGCCAAGCAACACAGCTGCTCATTCACTTTCAGAAAGGCAATAGTGAAAAAACTCATGGGTTGAGACAAATACTATTTAATAGGTCAAACAAAAGCTGCACAAGCAAGCAAAGCAAAATTAATTCACTATTTTCCACCAATAGGCAGATGTTCAGCCATTTCCATGAGAGCAGAACTTCATCACATATAGTGGTTTCTTGGGAAGACACAGCACAAGTCTGAATATACCCCTTTCCTCCTTTTCCCCCAAGCTGTTATTGCTGAACATGATGACACATGGTGTGGAATATTCCCTTGGTCCATTAGGGGTAGCTGTGCTGGCCGTGTCCCCTCCCATCAACTTGCACACTGCCAGCTTGCTCACTTGCAGAAATGTCCTTGATTCTGTCTAAGCACTACACAGAAACAGCTAAAACACTGGCACATTGTCAACACCATTCTCATCACAAATCCAAAGCATAGCACCATACAAGGCACTATGAAGAAAATAAACTCCATGTTTGCCACAAGCAGCACAAAAGAATAGGCAGGTTGTATTGAAGTGCTTCTTTATTTGTTACTATTTTTAAAATACCAATGAATGTGTCAGTTATGGAAATAAAAAGCATTGAAACCATAGAATTCATGTCTCCTTCCCTTATTAATGTTATCTCTGAGGTCTTTTGTCTCTCCGTTGATAGAATCATGAAAACATTTTTGTGCTGCTGTCTTTGAGAAGGAATGCTGCAGCTCCAGCAGCACTGTTTGGTGCTGAGCAACCTCAGAGCCAGGGACCCACTCTGGCAGTGCCACCTCTCCTAGTCTGTCCTCTGGTCTCCATGCAGGCTGACTTGCTTCTTGGTTCCAGAGCTTGTGCAATACAATTTTGCTTTCCTCCCTGTTTCCATCCTGCGGCAAGACCGTCTTACTAAGTGGGTTTGCCCATATTGTATGT